CAGGGGGGCCCGGAGGGAGGAGCGCGGAGGGGGCGCCCCGGCCCCGCTGCCCTGGGGCTATGGCCATGGTGACCGGTGGCTGGGGCGGCCCCGGAGGCGGCGGCGACACGAACGGTGTGGACAAGGCGGGAGGCTACCCGCGCGCAGCCGAGGAAGACTCGGCCTCACCACCTGGCGCTGCCAGCGACGCGGAGCCGGGCGACGAGGAGCGGCCGGGGCTGCAGGTGGACTGTGTGGTGTGCGGGGACAAGTCGAGTGGCAAGCACTACGGCGTCTTCACCTGCGAGGGCTGCAAGAGCTTTTTCAAGCGGAGCATCCGCCGCAACCTCAGCTACACCTGCCGGTGAGCCCCCCATCTGCACCCCGCTGCCTGCACTCGGCCCAGCCTGGCCCGGGCCCTGACCTGCTCGGTCACCTTGGGCCTGGCGCTGATCTTCCCTGGGCCTCCACTCCCCTCTGAGATAGGGGTACAGCCCCCTGTCCTCCTCTCTATTCCAATCCTAGGGTTGTGTATACAGTCGGCACCGTATGGATGCAGGTCCCCACATCAGGTGGTCCCTTGCGCTTTCTGCCCCCGTTTCTTGCTCCTCCTCCCAACCTTGATTTTCTCCGGAGAGGGGTCATCTCCGCACGGGGAGGGTTTGGGGTGCTGTCAGGGGGCACCCCTTCTCTTAGGAACGTCATCGCGCGGGGACCCCGTGGGAATCGAACGTGGAACATGGTTTGTGAAGCTCGCAGCGTCCAGGGGCCATTGTCTGCGGCCGCGCGGATCAATACGGCGCGCCCTTGGGGTCAAATATCACTTCCAAAGTCGCCCTGGCCACCAAGGCGGTGGCGGGAGCAAGGCAGAGGTGGCACAGGGCGCCCTCTTTCGCATGGGGGCCCTGCCTTGGGGAAGGAGCTGGTCCTGCCCATGGGGGGAACCCCCCCTGGGCTCACCGTGAGTGTTGGGTGACCGGAAACCGTCGCGGGAGGGTGGGGAGGGCAGCTAGAGCTGACCGCACCTCTGCTGCTCCACCCCCGCAGCCAAGAGTGGGAGCAGACCTGGTGCTCCTGGAAAATCCCTGAAACTTCGATGTCTCTGAGACAGGGTTGGGTGACTGTTTCCCGGAAGGCCTGGGCTGTGCTGGGTTGGAGTCTCCACTGACTGGCAGGGCCTTCCTAGCTTCTATGGTTGGAACTGGAGTGGGGTGTCCAGCTCAGGGCCCCCTTCTCACCACTTTTGGATGAGCATCCTTTTGCTTTATTGACAATCCCCTACTCTGTGTCCTCCATGAACATGCATGGGCTCTGCAAAGCTGATATAGGGGCCCCCATTTTCCATATGTGTAAAACTGAGGCCCAGAGAGTTCCTCGTGTCTGTCCTGGGTCACCCAGGGAGATATCCTGCCCCAGTTGGGGCTCAGCAAGGAGAATTTCAAGGTGGGAAAGAGGAGGGTGGCTAAGTCAGGGTCAGGGCTCACCCCAAGTAGGACTTGTTGGTGAGGCCACTGGGCCAGGCCTTGGGCATCTGGAGTTTGGCCCCAGGTCTGGAGTCAGAGCATGTCTGGGGAGGCCATGTGTGTGTGTGTGTGTGTGTGTGTGTGTGTGTGTGTGTGTGTGGTGGGGGGAGCTGGCTTCCTCCCTTCTCCAATGCTAACTGGGCCACCAGACTTTGGCCTCATTTTTACTGCTGGAATAACCTCCTGCTTTCTGGCTGGGTCTTTGGGGAGGGTATGGGAGGGGTTCAGGAAGTTTTGGAGTCCCAGGGGCTCCATGATGGCCAGAGCAGGGAGCATCAAGGTGGTGGACAGAGGGCATTGTTAGGGGCTGGCAGGTTCTTCAGAAGCTCTATGCTGTGTCACCAGGCGAAGTCGCTTCCCCTCTCTGAGCCTCAGATTTATTCAGCAAAGTTTCCTCAGGGCTCAGACTGGGTGATATGATGCTAGCCTCCCAGAGACCCCAGCTCTAAGCCCAGCCCTCTCCCACTCTGGAGACACAGTGAGATGCAGATGCCCCAGCCTGTGGGGTCTGGGCTGGGCCAGAGCGGGGGGGTGAGTTTGGGGTCCCAGAAGGGAGCAAGGGGCTCTGCCTGAGGGTCAGCAAGGGCTGTGTGGTGTAGGGCCATAGGATATGGTACTTAAAGCGAGAAAGGTTTGACCCAGGCAGATGCCCAGCTGCAGGTTGGGGGAAGCAGTGTTGTAAAATGAGACTACTCAGGCATGAGTGGAGTTAGAGCTGAGTGGGCCTGAAATGCTGGACTGATGGACACAGAGAGCCATGAAGAGTATATGAGCAAGGAAAGGCTCTGATCAAATTGAACTAGAAGCCATAAGCCTAAGGAGGAAACTGAGTTGGGCTCCAGTGTTGGGCTAAGCATATGTTCTTTAGATGGGATAATAAGTAGAACTTTCTGTTTCCCCATCTGGAGGACCAAGAAAGCTGTTCTGACTCCACAGCTGGGGAAGTTGAGGCAGAAGGTTCAGGGCCTCTCCTGAGGTCAGAGGGCCCTGAGCTGGGCCCCTGCCTGCCTGCCTACGCCAGGCCTGGCCGTTTCCAGCCGGCTGCCCAGGACCCTCCCACTGCCTGCCTGCTGGGCTTTGTTCTGGTTCTGCCTGAGCTCCCTCTGCCCTAGCTTGGCCTCCTCCTGGGGGCTGGGGCCAGGCGGGAGCCGAAGGCTTGCACTCAGATGCTACCACTGCAGGATCCAGGGACTTGGAGGCCCCCTAAAGCCTCAGCTCTTCTAAAGCTGCCATTGGTACTCCCGGCTGGGTCCTGGGTCCTGGGTCCTGGTACTCTCCTCCAGAGCCCCTCAGATTCCCCCAGACCCAACATCCCATATGGAGTTGGCATCTGGCCTCCCATTTCCAAATGAGGAAACTGAGGCTCGGTAGAGAAGTTGTCACCCAAGGGTTGGAGCTGTGTGTCCAGCTGAGATGTTTGATTTTTAACTTTATTGAGTGTTTTACTCTGTGAATGTCTCTGGGTGACCTTGGTGCCCAGCTAGGACCTCAAGGATATCTGTCCTAGGTTTGGGTCTTGGAGAGCCCTGAGCCCAGGATAGAGGGAGATACAGAGGGGCAGGGGCCAAGGGGAAAAGGCGCTGGGGACATTTGAAGAATAAGTGCCTGAACCCTCTTACTTGGGGTTGACTCTGGACGTTGCGCTTACTGCCTTGCAGTTTGGAGCCACCTTTCTCACCCCTGGGAAGGGCAACAACAATCCCTGAGGGCCACCGGGAGGAAGCTTCTTAGGCTCAAGAGTTAGAAGTTCTTCCGAGAGAAAGGGACATGGGTGTGGGGTCTTCAAGTGGGAACAGGAGTTCATTCGTTCATTCATTTATTTATTCATTCATTGGTGGCGGCCTTGTACAAGGTGATAATGATGGAGCTCCACAGCGCTGTGACCCCCACAGAGGACTTGGGCCTGCTCTGGCCTGGCTTCTACTCTCTCAGTCAACTCACAAAGCTCTGCTCCCTGACCATGTACCTTTTCTGTTCTCACATTACCCTTGGGACAAACACCCTGCCCCTGAGCCTGAAAATGACCACGTAAAATGAAACTGCAGGCCTCCAAATTTTCACATTTCCAGGCTTTTGCTCTCCTCGTACTCTCTGCCGGGAATTGCCCTTCCATCCACCTGGGGAACTTCTATTCATTCTTCAAAATGTAATTTCAGCATACCCTCACTGGTGTGCTACTCTACTTTGCCACAGACTCCTATTCATCTGTCACCAGCTTTGCCACCTTCTTTATTAATCTGTCACCATCATTCATTCTTTCCTCTTTGCAGACCTGCAGGCTTAGCCTCTGTGCCCCTTTGAGGCCACCTGCCCAGCCTGGGGTTGGGGCGAGCACCAGTGTTTTCCAGGTGCAGCCGTCAGAGGCGGCTCACAGGGTGGCTCAGGGAGCAGGCCGTGGGTGTCACAGTGACCCCCATGGTGACCTCTGCATGCCTGCAGGTCCAACCGTGACTGCCAGATTGACCAGCATCACCGGAACCAGTGCCAATACTGCCGCCTCAAGAAGTGCTTCCGGGTGGGCATGAGGAAAGAGGGTGAGTCTCTGATGGAATGTGGCAGAAAGGGTGTAGACAAACAACCCGTCTTTCATTCCTCTCCGGGTCTGGCTCCTGCCGATGTTACCACCGACCCAAGATCCCGTGGGGCCTAGGTCTGGCTCTGGGCTGAAGGAATCCGATTATCTGTGGCTGCCTGATGGCCGCACTGGAGCTGAGGCTGCAAGGGATGCCCTAACTTGGCCCCATATTAGGACTGTTCAGTGGTCCCCCTGGCCTCAGAGGCAGGTGTCCTGGCCCTGGCACCTCAGTGACCACCCCCTGCCCCCAGCCTGGCCATGGCTTTCTGAACAGGATGTATTTTTTTATTTGACTTGCTTTCCCTTCCCCCTCCCCCCTTGCTTTGTGTTTGCCCAAGGCAGGAACTTACCCGATTAAGTCAAAGGGCAGCCTGTCCTTCCGCCTGACCCCGGGCCCTGGGAGCCAGAAGCAGACCCAGCCTTTATCCCTGCTCCAGGGACTTGGGTGGACACGTGCTGGCAGCTGGGCATAGAACTCCACCCTTAGAAATGAAGTGGAACCCAGAGACTTCCTCTCAGAGCCTGGGGCTCAAGAGAAGATCTGGCCCCCATGCTGGGTGGCCTGTCTCTGCCTGGACTCTCATGGGCCAGGCTGGCAGTTCTTCCCTGTATTTTACCTGAGTCTAATGTTGGTTTCTTCTCTGTCAGGCTTCTAGAAGAAGCTGGGAACAGCTTCTCAGGCTGTCTCTTGAAACCATCTGATCACTCCCTTTGGTCCTTTTAAGTTTGGGGTGACTCTCTTGACCCCTCCCCCCACCTGGATTTTGCTTCCACTTGTCCTTTTGACCTAAAATCCTGATGTACTTCAAATCAAGGCTTCAGATCTCTAGTCTCAGGTGTGGATATCATCATAAATGCAGCTCATGCCCCAAGCACAGTTCTACTTAAGGGCCTTTGCATAGGCTGTTCCTCTGTCTGGAGTGCTCTTCCCTAAGACACCTTTGTGGCTTCCTCCCTCACTTCCTTTAAGGTTTGCTCAAACAGCATCTCCTCAAAGAAGCCTTCCTGATTACCCTTCATCATCCTTCTTGATTTCACACCATCTACCTTGCTCTGTAATGTATTTGCTCCCCCACAAAAATGTCTGCTCCCTGAAGGCAGAGACTAGGTCTCTTGGCAGAGTCTGTCTTGTTTTCTTGCATACCCCCAGTGCCTAGACCAGGTCCTGGAATACAGAAGGTGCTCAATAAATGATTCTTGGCTAGAATTGCTATCCATTTAGCCCTTACTGTCTGCCAAGTGCTGTTCTAAATAAGTTAGATAGATTCTTATGTAATTCAGTGATTGGTATCATCATCATTATTATTGTCACCTAAATCTTACAGATGGGAAAAGCACAGAGAGCAGAGAGGCGAGGCCATTTGCCAGGATCTGAGTGCCAGTAGAGTTATAGTGGGGGCTTGAACCCACACAGTCCGGGCTGAATGTGGAGGAAGAGCTGGGGAAAGGGTGCTCAGGAAGTAGAAACAGCAAGTACAAAGGCCCTGAGTTGAGAACAGGGGATGGCAGAATGGTGGGAGTGGGGTTTAGAACTGAGTGAGCAAAGAGGGAGAAGAAGGTTCCCCTATTCCCAAGAGCCAGGCTCAACTCAAGCCCCTGGCTCCCACCCATGTCCCCTGCCCTATCTGCTCCATGGCAGGTTGACCAGGAGTTCTTGGAGGTGATGAGACAGGGCATGCCAACTCATTAAAGCTCATTAATTAGTCTCTGCCTGGGACCAAGCCCAGTCTGCCCTTCTTCCCACCCACCTAGTTACTGGAGACACTGGCTCAAGCCTGCAGTGAGTCTTCCCCCTCCTCACAGTCAAGGCTACTGATGGCAGCTAATGCTTATTGAGCACCTACTACTGTCCAAGACTCCATTCTCAGCACCAGGGTCACTGCAGGGACCCAGACAGACAGATGCTCTTGGGGGCCGTGACCTGGAAGGCCAGACTGGGAGCTAGAGAAATGATCCCATCTCCATAGGAGAGATCACTTATTTTAGGGACAGGTTGGCCAGGTGCCCCAAGTTCTAGGAACGCACCCCCCACCCCTTAGTCTCATTCTCAGCTCTGGGACTCCATTGATTGCTTGACAGGTCAAGCTTCCCTGGCTGCTGAATGGAGCTCACACAGTCTAGTGGGAGCAGGGCCAGGTGTGCGTGAAATTCTTAACTCAGGTTACCCAACCAAGGTTCTCGCAGGAAGTAGGGTGGGGGCCAGACAGGAGTGCAGGATGAGGCCTGCGGGACCCAGGGCCCCTGGCCTCCCAACAAGCTGTGTGCCCATGGAGCAGGGTCGGAGGTCCAGGGAAAAGCAGCGTGGTGGGCCTTGGAAGGGAGGAGCTGAGTGACCCTCTAATGACTTTGCGTTCTCTCCTTTATTCCTCCCTACCCGACCCCCATGACCCTTTGAATACCCCACTTTTCCCCGGATTCCTTTCCTCTCCCTCTTCCTGACACCCCTCTCTCCCTGGCTGACCTCCCTCTCCCCTCTTTACCCTCCCCATGACCCTCCATCCCCTTCTTGTACCCATTTTTGTTACTCCTCCTCCCATCTGACCCCTCATCCCCTTCCTCCCTCCCCTCTCTCCTTTGCTGCCCCCTCCCCCTCCTGCCCATCTCCATTCACCCACAACAGCGGTGCAGCGCGGCCGCATCCCGCACTCGCTGCCAGGTACTGTGGCTGCCTCCTCAGGCAGCCCCCCAGGCTCGGCGCTGGCGGCAGCTGCTGCGGGCGGGGACCTCTTTCCGGGGCAGCCGGTGTCAGAGCTGATCGCGCAGCTGCTGCGCGCTGAGCCCTACCCTGCGGCGGCTGGGCGCTTTGGCGCGAGCGGTGGTGCGGCGGGTGCGGTGCTGGGCATCGACAACGTGTGTGAGCTGGCCGCGCGGCTGCTGTTCAGCACCGTGGAGTGGGCGCGCCACGCGCCCTTCTTCCCGGACTTGCCGGTGGCTGACCAGGTGGCGCTACTGCGCCTGAGCTGGAGTGAGCTGTTCGTGCTGAACGCTGCGCAGGCGGCACTGCCCCTGCACACGGCCCCGCTGCTGGCCGCTGCCGGTCTGCACGCCGCGCCCATGGCTGCCGAGCGCGCCGTAGCCTTCATGGACCAGGTGCGCGCCTTCCAGGAGCAGGTGGACAAGCTGGGCCGTCTGCAGGTCGATTCAGCCGAGTATGGCTGCCTCAAGGCCATCGCGCTGTTCACGCCTGGTGAGATGCGTTCCGGGGGGGGGGGGGGGGGGTAGGGGGGGTTGATGCGTTCCGGGGGGGGGGGGCGCTAGGGAGGCTTTGTGGTTGTGCGGGTGTGTGTGTGTGGGGGAACCCTATAGCCTTCCACTCTGTGATCCCCGTATGCCATATCTGTGGCCCTGCAGGCTGTGTGACACCCTGATGCCCCCACCCCAGATCCCAGGTTTCCTTAAGAACTCTGGGTCTGGACGGGTGACTCAGGTTCCCACAACCTCTCCCTTTTTCTGGGCTCCCTGAGGCCCCCCACTCTCCATCCCCTCATTAAAGTGCTCTTCATGTGCAGTGAGCACTGCCCGCAGAGTGGGAGGAAAGGTCCCTGACACCTGGTCTGGCCCCCCTGACCCCCATTCCCTGATCCCTGGGCCCCCAAACTCTGACCCTAGTCCCCCAGATCAGGGTGCTTTTCCTGGGAGCACTTATGAAGGAAAGGCTGCCCGGCAGGGGTGCCCTGACATCAGGTTCTGAGCTCCCCACTTCCTGATTCCTGTGACCCCAGACCTCTGACCCAGGGCTCCTAACATGCCCCCAGGGCAGGGCAACCTCCAGGTGGCTAGGGCTGCCTTGGACTGAGAAAGGAGCTGTGGCTTGGAGGCCCTTCCCATCCAGGGGTGGGGCTGGCCTCATGCCCTCTGTCATTTGTAACCTTCCAGTAGCTAAAGCTCTACCTAATTCTAGGAACTGGTGGCAGATCTGGCTTTACTCTGGAAGGTTCCAGGCCCCACTAGATGTCTACTTGGGGCCATGGTTGCAGAACCAGACTCAGGCTACTCTGAGAAGTGGCTTTCATCTGATAAATATGGGTTTGCCCTCAAGACTCCTCTGCCTTCCACCTTCAAGGTGCCCTCTCTAGATGCTGTCAACACTCACTCCCCAGGCCCTTCTAGGCTTTGCCTTTCTCCCCAAGTCCTCTCCCCAGCACCCCTTCCACTTGAGCTTGATTAGAACTTGTCTCCCTGACAAAGCCTCAGTTGGGGCCCCATCTGCCCTTGAGGAATCACTGCCTGCACCCTTGTGACATTGTCCTCAGGTGAGGCCACCTTCATATCTCTTGAGGACTGACACTGCCTTAGATATCCCCATTTGTGCCCCAGGCCCTTATCTCCCACCTCCTGAGTTCCCCTCTCCCTCCGTATCTACAGCCTTGAGTGGTGCCCCCAATCACCCCTGGGGCCTGCATCTTCCTGCCATCTCCTATCCATCTGACCTTGTCCTTGACCTCCCAGATGCCTGTGGCCTCTCGGACCCAGCACATGTGGAGAGCCTGCAGGAGAAGGCGCAGGTGGCCCTGACCGAGTATGTGCGGGCCCAGTACCCATCCCAGCCCCAGCGCTTCGGGCGCCTGCTGCTTCGGCTCCCTGCCCTTCGTGCAGTCCCCGCCTCCCTCATCTCCCAGCTGTTCTTCATGCGCCTGGTGGGCAAGACGCCCATCGAGACACTGATCCGAGACATGTTGCTGTCTGGAAGTACCTTCAACTGGCCCTACGGCTCGGGCCAGTGATTGGACAGGACCCGGGGCACGATGGCCGGGTGTGCAGACCTCAAGGGACACGGCTGCTTAGGCCTCAAGGGGGAACCCCAGACGGAGGACCCCAGCCTTTCTCCTCAGACTCCTATTTTTTAAAGACTGTGAAATATTTGTTTTTTCTGTTTTTTAAGTGATCATGAAACCAAAAAGTGACTGATCGTCCAGGCTCCAGCCTTGTTCTCCCCAGAACCCCTGGCCAAGATGGGAAGGACTGAGGTTCCAATCTTGGGATAGTCTTATACTCAGTGCCCAGGCATGGGATGGTGGGATTGGCTTCCCTGGTGTGATGGCCAGAGGCCTGACGTCTGGCCTGGAGGGGCAGCTGCAGCCGGGCAGGGGTTGCGTGTCAGGCGGTTCCTCTGGACACATGATCCATGTTGGACACTACATGATGAACGAATCAAGGCCAATGATAAAGGTGTTTCCTACCTGCACAGCCTCTGTCATCTTTTGAGGGGAGAGCACCCTGCCCACTCCCAGCCATCTAGAATACCCACAACCTAACAACAGCCCTACTTGCTGTTTTTGTTGGATAGTGTTGTGGGAAAACTGAGGTTGTGGGCAGAGGGGGCGGGCAAAGGTAGAAGGGGCCTGGCTGTTGATGGGGATGACATTTCTTAGCTTCAGCTGAGGTCTTGATAGGGAGAGACGAGGCTTTCATCAAAGAGCCCCTTTGAAAACAGTGAGGGAAGAACTTGGGTCTTACCCTGCAAGCTGGGCTGGTGCTTAGCCCTTAAGGCAGTCTCAGTCCTCCCAAAGGTTCCCCAATAGCACCACAGCCTTCCCTATGTCCATCTTGGAAGAGGCCTGGGAAGATGGGGAATAAGGCCATTTCCTGTGGAGTGAATGAGAGTCTCATGGGTATGCCCTGCCCCCAGAAGGGGACTGAAGTGGAAGTGGGATGGAAAGGCTACTGGAAACCCATTAGAGGCTGGACTGGTTCCTGCCCTGAGTCAGCATCTTCTGAGGATGTCCTGTGGGTAAGTGAATATATGTCCGCTTAAGTTGAACTGGGCAGCAATACCCCATTTCTCAGACTCACAGGACATCTGAGAACCGAGCAAGACCATTGTGTTTTGCTTCCAGTCCCCAGGCCAGAGACTTGGATGTTTGTTCGGACTTGACTGCTCAACTGGTACTTCGGCAAAACCCTACCCATATGGCCCCTCCTACAAGTCATCTTGAGCCTCCCTGGTTGATTGCCATCCAGCCCTCTGTTATTGCTCTATCACACTGGGCCCAGGGCTATCTTCCTTGAGGATGGGCTCCATGAGGCCCAGTCTGGGGACTGAAGCCTCTCTGTGACCCAGTGGCTGTCACTGCCTTCCTTGCCTGCAGTCTGTCTCCCTGACTGACCTTGTCTTTTGTGGCTCCCATGGAAGACCAAGACTCAAAGAAGGCAGCCATCACACAGCCCCACAGGGAGCCTTGTCCTACTGATGTCCCAACCTACCCTGCCCAGGGAGGGGCTGGCATGTGGTGGACACCAGGGCATTCTCCCCTAGGGCCAGGCATGTGAATTGTGCTCGCACAGTGCGGGGCATCAATCACCATTCAGCCTGCAGTGCCCAGAAGTGGAGAATCACAGGGTGCCATTTATCTGATCACAGCAGGGCCTCCTGTAGTAGCCTGGGCTGAGAATGCCCCCTTCAGCATCACAGCACATGAATTCTCCAGGACCCCACCCCAGCAAAACTCTAGGATCCTCTGCCTCCATTACTTGACCTAGCTTCTGGGGCCTCCCCATCCCAAAAAAACTCTAGGATCCTCTGCCTCCATTACTTGACCTGTGGAAACTCCTAGCTTCTGGGGCCTCCCCATCCCAAGGCTGGCTAAGGAGGTGATGCTGGATGTTGGCCTCTCAGCTTCCCATTAGGAGGGCTACTTGAAACTCTTGCAGGAGAAGGAGGCCCCTGGACATTCAAGGATTCCTACCACACTCAAAGATCCTGGACAAGTCCGTATCTCAAAACCTTCATTTTTTCCCTCTGGAAAATGGAAGAACAATTCATTTTGTAACAATCGAGTGTTAAGCAGCTATAAGTAGAATGTATTTAAAACATATTTATTCCACTGGGATGGGAAAGCAGGACCTACTTCCAGGGGCTGGGCTGAGATCTGGGGTCCCAATAGGGTCAGGGCTGGGGGTCCTAGAAGAGGTCCTGGGAAGGCTTCCTGGAGGAAGAGTCATCAGAGCTGAGCCTCAAAGGCTGAGGCATTTGCAATCAGGGAAATCTACCCCAGGCGGGGGGAACAGTAAGAGCTGAGGCTGGGAGGTGGAAAGAGAAGTGGAGGCAAGGTGGGACCCTCACCCCAATGTGTCCCTTTGCTTGTCTCCCAGGACACTCAGAAGTACACAGAACCCTCACTGTCTTCTTGGTCATCGAATTTCTGGATCTGTGCCTTGAGGTGCCTTAGTTTGCTCTTCAGGTAGCGGCAGCGAGCCTGCTTATCCAAGAAGCTGGGGTCCTGGGCAGGGCGAGAGCCAAGGAAGTCCTTGTGGCAGTCTGGCCTATGGCCCTTGAGCTGCTCCACCCTTTGCTCTTCCTCTCTGAGCCTCGGTTTTCTTTCCTTGAAACTGGGCACTCATATGAATGTTGGGAGTGTAAAGACCAGGCTGAGGGGCTCAGGAGACCATGACTCACCGTCCGCTTCTTCTCAAATTCCCTCCAGACACGGGTAGCAACTTGAGCCTCCTTCTGCAAAAGGAGGAAGAGGAAGACTCAGGGAGTGCTGGACCCAGGCAGGGATGCGGAAACTGAGGCTCAGAGAGACAAAGTGGCCAATCTAGGGAGGACTTCAAGGGCTGATGTTTGCCCATATGCTGTGGTGCCTGCCCAAGCTGGAGGAGGAAGAGGTCAGATCTGGACCCAATAAGTGTGCTGAAGGCCAGGGTCTGCCACCTGGAAGGACTCTGGGGTAGGGGTTTCCACCTGGTTGCTGACCTGGCTTCGGGGCGGGGGCAGTGAGGTCAGCAGGGCCTCCAGCCGCTGGAGCTTTGCCCGCGCAGAGCCAACCTCCTGCTGGAGCTCCAAGAACTCTGCATACTGGTCCTGGAACACTGCAGCATAGCGGCTCCGTTCCCTCTCACTGCTCACTGCTGGGTACTTACTGCGGGGTTGAAAATGGGGCAGAGTGTGAGTGTAAAAAAAACCAATGCCTTTCCCCAAAGCAGTGTAATTTGTTTTTCTTTGCTCATGCTGGGCTCCCTGCTCAAAATGTCCTTTTTCTCTAATTGGTCAACTCTTATTCACTTGCCAAAGCCCAGCCTCAGTGCCCCTTCCCTGTTCCCAGGTATCAGCAACCACATAGGAGACACTTACAGCTCATAGTCGGGCACTGAGTGGGGCATAGGCATATGCCCCCCAGGGATGGATACAACAGGCTTCTTGGCGCCCAAAAGGGGCCGGGAGGGCAGCTCATCCTCAAATACAATCTTCCTGGGCCTTGCCGTGTGGGGTCCTGGCTGGGGTTGGCACAGAGGGTAGGTTTCCAGGCCTCGAGGCACCAGCCGCTGCAGACGCTGCAGTTATAGTTTGGAGTTAACAAGGGTATCAGGAAGCCGGGATCCTTTAAACTGGGGGAATAAATCCTTTGCTCGGCCTTGGGACTCTCCTCCCATTCAGACTCACCGGGGGCCCCGGGCCAGGAGGGCGAATCTTCAGGTCCCCCCGGCAGCCGCGTCTGAGGGGGA